TTTTCAACGATTTTTATCGTTCACGTCGAATAATTTTTGCGGAAAGATAAGAGAACAAAAAAAATGAAAAAGAAAAAGACAAGAAAAAAAAAAAAAGAAAAGGAAAAATATCTTTTATGCGTACTAATATCTTCTATCCATTAACGATACATCGTAGTTGTGCATTTCTGTGGACTCTGATCAATGACGAGAACACGAAAAATACTGCTGACGATTTCAAAACTAGAAAGTATCGAATAGTTTCTTTCTTATAACTCAGCTAACTAAATCTCAAGTTCTAATGTTACGATCGCGTTAAACTTCTTAGAATTCATCAACGCATAACGCCGGAGCGTGTCTACCAGGCGAAATAGTGCGAGCTCGACGAAGCATAACAAAACTCGGCTTGTACATACATACATACATACATACATACATACATACATATATACGTGGATACATAGTTATATGCATACGTATGTACGTATGTACGTACGTCCAGCACGAACCCGATAACAGGTTTATTTCCGGACCAATTTGCTCGGAAGACGAAGTAAAGCGCGAACGATCATGAATCTTTTAAATTGACACGAATTAGGCGGATATCCGTATAATTTTTTATCAATGCTAATACTATATTCACATGTAATCGTTTAATTTTAATCAATGATTTATGATCAATGATTTAGAATAAAAATATAATGTCGATTAAATTTAATAATAAAAATAAATTTTAATTTATTTGAAATATTATTTATTCTGCTCGTAAAAATACGCAACAATTTTACGATTAATAAATTCATACGACAATGAATTAAATTATCCATTTAATTGACTTGTACGAATTTATTATATCGTCTTATCGTCGATTAGATTTGTAACTTAAAAAAAAAAGAAAAAAAATAAATAAATAAATAAATAAATAAATAAATAAATAAAGAAAAGAATCAAGTAATAAAAAAGATTCTGTTTTCATAAAGAAGAAAGCTATCCCTTAGATATCTTTGTTTATTTTTTTATTTCTTTTTTCTTTTTTTTTCTTTTCTTTTTTTTTTCCAATCGATGCAATTAAACCGGTTTTGCGTGTCATCGTTTGTCCATTTCAAGATGTTGAGATTTATATCGTCGTCATCGTCGTCATCGTCGTCATCGTCGTCATCGTCGTCATCGTCGACGTCGACGTTGTCGTCGTTATTATATTTTTCATTGGTAATAAAATTTTCATCGCTTCGTCGTCAAAAAGATCATTTATGGTTGAACGATCACGTCGATCGAATAAAGTATTTCTAATACTGATTCTCCATTGCTTCCTGAATCGATATATTAGAAACGGTATTACGCTTTGTAGATACTATACGGTAAGCAACTTGTCGAATTATATAACGCAAAGTATAATCTTCCTTGACTTTCCATCGAAAGGTACATATTCAATGTAATTAGCGGCAAACATCCGTCGTCTAATCTAGACGCACAAATGCGTCCTCTATAAAACAACGAGAGCGTTAATTATACAAAGTACCATTGAAATAATCAACTAATATTCTCGTAATTTTTCGTTACAATACAAAATGTAGTAAATACATTTCTTTTTCTTTTTCCTTTTTCTTTTTATTTTTCTCTTTTTTTTCTTTTTTAATAATAGATCATTTTTAAAAAGACGAATTCACTCGATCAATAAGAATTTGTGTTGACCTAAAGTTGACTTTGCATAAGGATTTTTGTAAAAATGAACGAATCTAAAATTTAAATATTTTAATCAAAAAAAAAAAAAAAAAAAAAAAAAAAAACAAGAAAAAAAAAATAAAAGAGAAAAGGAAAAACAAATCAAATTCTTTTTAATTTGCTGATAAATTTCGATCCGTGAATTATTTTAATCGAATTAAATTGTTATCATGAGAATCTAAAATCGACGATAAAACGATAATTCCGTAGTGTTGGTCCTTTATAAAATGATAATGGTTGCCATAATGGTATACATGACGCAGGAGCCAAACTCGTAGGAGCCTCTTCTCTCTCTCCCTCTCTCTCTTTCTCTTTCTCTTTTTCGCAGTTGTATCTCACACTTTATGTTCTGACGCATCCAACGAAATTCCTTTCTAAGGTACACCATCACACACGCACACACACACACACACACACACACACGCACGTGCCTTCGAAGAAAGTAAAAGCGGATTCGCTGCTCTTGCACGAATGGCGAAAGATGCGTCGTCGCGCGCGCGCGCGTGTCTCTTTTGCCGTTATATTTTTAGCGTCATGGCTGGTCAACATTCTCCTGATCTTCTTCTCCCTCATCCCTTTTCTTTTCTTTACTTTACTTTACTTTACTTTTCTTTTCTTTTCTTTCCTTGCTTTGCTTTGCCTTGCCTTGCCTTTCCTTTCCTTTCCTTTCCTTTTTATCCTTTCTCTTTTCTCCCTTTCCCTGTTTTCTCTCCCCTATTCCATGAACTCTCAAATGTTTCGCTACGACAGCTGCGACGAAATCGCTAAAGATCAACCAGGATCGTAGTTTCGTTCAACGAATCACTATGCTATTTCAAGGTGACGTTTGTTATATACTCTCTCTTCGTCGAATACCATCACTTTCTTTCTCTCTCACATCCTCTCTTTCTCTCTGTCTATCCTTTTCTCTCTTTCTCTGTCTCCAGAGCCACATTGATTAACATCCAACTCGAAACGGCGCCATAAGGCTTTGATGCAATCAACGAAATTCCGCCGGAAGGAGAAATGAAAATATTTACGCATCTCTCCCATTCGACTATCCCTCCTATTCTTCATCCTTCTCTTGTGTATCTGTTTCTTTTTCTTTTTTTTTTCTTTTTTTTTTTTTGATTTCGCTGTTTGCAAAACGTTACATTTGTAAAAAAAAAAAAAAGTAAAAGAAAAAGAAAGAAAACACACACGGAAGGATCAATTGTATATTAAACACTTCTTTTTCATTCATCGTTCTTTACTCTTATACGCGTACACGTGTGTATATATATATATATATATATATATACGCTTGGTTATGTATATAAAAGTAACGGCATGTATTTATGTAATGATATAATTTTTTATATCATTTTGTAACAAATTTTTTCTTTTATCTCTTTTTTTTTTTTTTTTTTTTCATTTTATTCATTTGATCTACGTCGATTCAGTCTCAAAGATTCGTCAACTTTACTATCTCTGAAGTCGATACGGCAAACGAGGTTAATCTCGTTGCAGTAATCAGGTAGGAATGCGGTACGAACGGAGGATTGCGGTTGAATCTAAGCGGTTTCTTGTTAATTCGTCCTAAGAATGTTGACGAGCCTGAGAGTGTAAATCTATTGGTTATAACGGTTTGACAATAATAATCGTATTTTGTTATTACGATCGAAATATCTGATAGTCGGACATTTATCGTATTATAAATTAGAAACATTATGACGTTGTTGTAAACGTTTTAGTTACATCCTGCGAGGACGCTTTCGAGCGCAATTTTTACATGAGTCTTAATATCGAGCAAAATTGTATTAGAGAGAAACTAAAAGAGAAAAAAGAAAAACGAAATAATAATAATAATAATAATAATAATAATAAAAGAGAAAAAAAAACAAACAAAGAAAAAAAGGTAAAAAAAAAAAAAAAAGAAAGAGGAAAGAAAGGAAACGATAAATACGATTTACATTTTTAAAAAATTCATTTAACACGAACAAACTCTACTCGTATTTATATTGCATAACACCATAATCGCATGGAATTCTGGTTATCCTTCGAAACAATCTGAACGGTGTAACAGAGTTGGCCTTTCGCTTTCATCCCCGTGAATATGGTAACCGAAGTATATGTTAGCTGATCGATTTTGTCCCTAATTAACAAGAAAGATAGAGAGAGAGATAAATAAATAGAGAGAGAGAGAGAGAGAGAGAGAGAGAGAGAGAGACATGCCGCTGCATGGAAATCGTGTTACACGATTTTTCAACATAACTTCCATTAAATAATAAATTCTCAATTACAGATATCACGTCATCTCGTAACATAAAACAAATAGAAGAATTTATGGTGTATCCCATAAAAGTTCTTTTTTCTTTTCTACAGATTTGTACTATTTAATATTCATAAATTGAACGTCACTGATACATAAAATAAATCATAATCATTAACATAAAAATATACAAATAATATAATTGAAAGGAGAAAGAAAAAGAAAGAAGGAGAAAGAGAGAGAGAGAGAGAGAGAGAGAGAGAGAGAGAGAGGAGTAAAAAAGAAAGGAATAAAATTAATATTTAATGAAAAACATGTTTCTCTCTTATCGATTAATGCATTACGTAAACGATTATATTATCTCACAATTATCAACAATACGTCTGTGATAATGAATGCACGTTCAGTTCGACCCATGTGTTAATGGTATACTGATGCACGAGGGAAATGTTAATATGTGGAACAATACCCGTGTAGATTTGTATCATTGAAAGGTGTAAAAGGAATAAACCACAGCGTTCTATCTCTCTCTCTCTCTCTCTCCCTCTCTCTGTTTTCTTTTCCTTTCTTTCTTTTATTTTTCTTCTTTTTTTTATTTCTATTATTTCTTTTTTTTTTTTTTTCTTTTTTTTTTAATCAACAAAATCACAATCGCTCATTCGGATTTACAAAATAATCATTAAACTTTAATTCAATGTTCGCGTCCTACGTATTTAATTCTAAACGATAGGAACAAACGAACGATTGTATTTAATGGAAAGAAGAAGAAAAGATAAAGAAAAAGAACAAGAAAAGAGATAAAAGAGAAAGAAAAAAAAAGAAAACGTCAGATACAACTATATATATATATATATATGACAAAATTCAAGATGGAAATGTCTGTCGACGTTTAAAGATTATTTCAATTCCCGATGTTTTTTGAAAACTACGAAGCGTACTAGCACGCTCCTGTTAGTGATATTCTCGAAAAGGACAAAGAAACGTTATCGGTATTCCGAAGACGAAGTCGAAGGCCTCCGGTGATCACGTGACTTGGTTTTCGAATATACCGTTAAAATCGCTTGGGAAGAGACGTAGTAGAAGAATCCAAGTAAAAGCCTGAGATGCTGTCCGTCCGTTCCTTTAAGTGATTAATGAGAGAAAGAAAGAGAGAGAGAGAGAGAGAGAAAGAGAAAGAGGGGGGAAGAATGTAGTTGGTTTTCTATTGAATACACTAAGGGTTCCTTGGCACCCTCCTCTCTCCCTCCCCCATGCACTCTACTCCCCATCCCATCTCCCCCTTTTAATATATCTCTTTTCCTTTCCTTCCTTATTTCCTTATTACTTAACGAATTACATTTGTTATGTTGTTGGTAACGTTGATTAGTTATGACCGACGCTTCCGCGAAGAAACTCCACGGAGAAGTTCTGATATTTTAGAATTTTCTTTCTTTTTTTTTTTTTTTTTCTTTTCTTTCCTTTTCTTTTCTTTTTCCCCTCATTCCACCTGACGTATAAACTTTAACGATGAGAATAAATATGATAAATCGAAAATAGAAGAAAGATATCAAATGTTACAATTTGTTAGATTCAACTAACAATGGATAGACTTGTACCGAGGCACTTCCTATTTCCTTGATGATTACGATCGAAATCATTTATTCACTTAGCATTTGCTTTGGACGAGCATATATATATATATATATATGTATATATATAATCACAATTAACAGGTAACGTTATATATATAGATAAATATATGTGTATGTACGTGTGTATGTACGTACGTAAATATTGTACATATGTATTCTTATATGTAAATATTAATACATGCGTGAGAATGATAACGGGGATAAATATTATTTTATTTTATTTTATTTCTATGTATATAAGAAATTCCATCCTCATAGGTGTGGTCACGTATCTTGTAACTATTCCCGTTTTTATATCGAACATCATTGAGAGCCATGGATTCGCACGTAATCTTATATATTTCTATATTCCTCCATGTGATTATCTTCGATCTAGAATGCACCTGTAATTTTTTTTTTCTCTCGTTTTTTTTCTTTTTTCTTTTTTTTTTTTTTTTTTTGCCTTTTTTTCTTCTTTTTTTTCTTTAACAGCGAACGAGAAGAAAAAGAAAAAGAAGAAGAAATAGAAAGAAGTGTTACAATGAACTGATTGACAATGAGTTCGATTTTCGATTGGGTTTATTCTCAATCGTTTTATATCTTTAATAATCCTTTCTCGATCGTGATCTCGATCGATCGGAACGATTTGCTTACGTAAATCATAAACATCCGTCTCGCCTTTGTATTGTGAGAATCATCGTTCTGTAAGTCAGAGCATGGAAGCGAATAATTGTCCAATATTACTCGCCAACCAACCAACCAACCAAACAACCAGCCCTGGACGCATCGAAGCATTCGAACGACTATTTGAATGACAATGCATCGACAACCGGGACATTCATTTAATTCGCTTGCCGTGCATATTTCGATATGTCGAGTTACGTCGATACTTCGAGAAAACGAATTAGTAGGGACTCTCGAACGTTTACGACGGATATGTTTTCGACGTTCATCCGATTTATCATCGTATATGATGGATGAGATATTTCAAAATTATTAAACACTTCACACACATGATACATATATATCATTTTCAAAAATATAATTTTTCACTAAGAAGTAAATAATATCGATGAATATAAATATAGGTTGAACCATTCAAAAAAATTTAACACTCTATATTTAATAATATATTTTTAATTATTATATATATATATATATATATATATTAAAATATTAACATTTTTTAATTGCATATATATATATCATTTTCAAAATTATAATTTATCTATCGTCAAATATACAAGATTTTATAGAGACGTTTTATATACACATTATATTAAAAATTCTATAAAATAATATAAATATAATACATTCAAAATTATAATCTTTTCTCTTAAGAAATACGATAATGTAATAAAAACATCCAGGTATTCCTGTTTAAACGATTATAGTACTTTCTTTCTATTAATATTACGATTTCACTTACATTCCTCTATCAGAAGTTATGTGTATTCCCATATTGATCCTATCATTAAGAAAGTTATGTCATATCTATCTTAGTATTGCATATAACTAGAATGTATCTTTACGTTTTTTTCTTTTTTTTTTCTTTCTTTTTCACTTTTGTCGTATTTACATTTAACATTAACAGATACGTCGTAATAATTTTCCATTCCGGTCTCTGTACGTTTGGTTCACGTAAGAGACGATCGTCTCCTTAAGAACATTTTATATTTTCCCTAGTAATAATACGGTGGGGTAAAGGGTTTGCCATTTTCGCAAGTGGTACGTAATGACAGTTCTGGTGTAAGCGTAACGCGATCAGAATGAAATAACCGTGTCTTATACACGCTGATATTATTAGGGCCGTCATATTGCGATACACCATGCAGAGTATATTAATATTCCTGTAATAACGCAACACACGATGTACACAACGTGAACCGCCTGAAGGATATACCGTGTCAGTGTATACCACATTACGAACGTATCTCGATGATAATATATTCTCGATCGTATACAGAAAGAGAGAGAGAGAGAGAGAGAGAGAAAGGGTGGGATGAAGGGTAGGAGGAAGGAGGAAGGGGATTCCTAAGCCTTTAGGAGAAAGTTCAAATGCCAGTGCGCGGGGACTCTCTTCTGGTTTAAGAAATAATGATATCCTTTCCTTCCTATCCTTCTCGTCCTTTAATTTAACTTCTATTACTTCATTTCGCGTAACAACCATCAAGAAAGTACCCCGTACGAAGAGAAACATATACGAGATTTTATGTCAGATATACTTTTTTATCCCTTTTTTTGCGCGGATTAGAGGGATATCGAGAGGAGAGAAATGGACTGGACTGGACTAAGCTGGAAGACGTGATAGAAGGGATAGTGAAGTTGGGGGAGAGTAATCTTTGAAATAATCTGAGAACATTGGGGGGTCTTTTCTCTTTACGTCAAAATCTCTCTCTCTCTTTCTCTCTCTTTTTCTCTCTCTTGGTATGAGTGAAAGAGAAGTAAACAGGATGCCATCTTTAAAATCCTTTTAAGCAAGGTAAATAAACTTTGGTGCCTCGACTAAGAATAAGGTAGTAAAGTGCAGTAGAATTTCCTCTCTCTCTCTCTCTCTCTCTCTCTCTCTCTCTTTATCTTTATCTTTCTCTCTTTCTCTTTCTTTCTTTCTTTCTTTCTTTCTATAGTCACGTGGGATCGAAACTGGAGCGCGGTAGTAGACGATGGAACGCCTATGGCGGTCTTTCTAGAGGCACATGTATCTCCGAGCGGTTAAACTCGAAGAAGAGAGAAAGGCGAACGACTTATCGACACACATATATATATATATTACATATATATATATATATGTGCGTATGTAAGCATGTATGTGAGTGGTAACTGCAGTAAGTAACGATTAGACATGGTTGCATTTAAAAAAATGTGTTGGAAAAGCGTATCCATTATTGAAAAGAACTATGACGAAGATATCGACGACAAACGACAACAACGACGAGAACGACGAGAACGACGACAACGACGACAACGACGAGGTTCGCTTGGCAAGACGAAGTCACGGGTAATACCGTATCGAAAGACCGAGCTAAAGTGTAACTAGCATTATTGGCGTTGCCTTGCATTCCAAGTTGTTGCGTAATTGTCTGACGGAACGTAGTAGCTCTGGCTTCGTTCCTTCGGTTACTTCTTTAGATGGAAAGGTACAATCTATAACGTGCTTCTCCTTTCGCATAAGACCCTCTCGATTTCTATTCGTTTTTATTTATTTTCATTTATTTTCTGGTTTTTTTTATTTTTTTTTTATTTTTTTTTTTGTTTTCAATCTTTTCTTTTCATTTTTCCCTTCTTCTTCTTTTATTTTATTTTATTTTATTTTATTTTATTTTATTTATTTTGTTGAAACTCATCGAAACCTGCGCGTATAGTCTACGCCCACTAAGTCTGACAATTGTATTCTCGAGTTTTTATTTTTTATTTTTTTTTTTATTTTCTTTTTTATCATTATTATTCATTTATTTATTTTTTTTATATCTTTGTTCGTCATAACGTTAAGTCTTAAGTATAGGGAGCATTTAGAAAAGAATGTTTTTTTCTTTTTTTTTTTTTCTACGGTTACAGACTTATTGGACACATTGTAGATGTTGTACGAAAGAAATGAGGGGGTTGTCTGTAATAAATCTTGTTGTCATTATTCGTTCGTCGACATTTTCAAACGATTTTACTTTACGATTTTAAATTTATACGACACCTTGTAGATTTAATACGAAAAAGAAAAAAAAAAAAGGAAAGAAAGAAAAAAAAAGAAGAAGAAGAAAAAAGAAAATGTTCGTCTTTATCTCGTTCGACAAAATACCGAAAAGATTTTTCTTTTCTATTAGGTTCTAGACTTACGGGACACCCCGTAGATCGGAAACGAAATAAATCTCGTTTTTACCTGCGGTATCGACATTTTGAAAAGATTTTTCTTAAAGGTTTTACATTTAAACGACCTTGTAGATATGAAAAGAAATGGTGCGTCTTTATCTGCGTCACGATATCGACCAAATTTTTTTCTATGGTTTTGAACTTATGAGATAACCCTGTATCGTATCAAATACGATATATACATAATCGTCATTTTTATCAAATTCGTAATCGACTCTTCGAACGGATTATTTTTTTTCTCTCTGTAATTTCCAAATTACGAGACAACATTCGTAGATCTTATATGAAATTAATGTCTATTTTTATCCTTCTATCATTGGACATATTAAAAGGATATTTTTCTTGGGATTTTAAAATTATCGAACACCTTGTAGATCGTATATGAAAGGGACAAGTATCGAAACACACATACATACTTACGTATAATACTTTCGATTTTACATTCTATTCGATCTAAATATTTTCTTAACTCCGTTAATGTCTCATTTGCAATTATAACTGTCGGCATTTTAATTTTCAATTTATTGTTCATCGATCTATTGTTTAATCATGCGAATACATGCCAATTGAGATAAATTCTTCTTTCTTTTTTGTTTTTTTTTTTTTTTTTTTTTTTTTTTTTTTTTTATATAATACGAACTGAATTGTCTCGTTGAAATTAGAACATAAGAAAGTAGGAAACTCTGTTAAGTTGAATTTATCGCGTATCTCATAATTAAACATCGGCTATTAAATGAATAAACGAGGTAACATTGGCACGCACGCACGATATCGTGATGCTGCCGTTAAAATTTTATTATAGATCATTATATCGTGGAAAGTCGTATCTTGTTCTTAACGTTCCAATTATTAATCCTATCCGTTGAAAATCTAAAATGATTATGAACATATGGGACGCGATAATGTTATTAAAGTTATTCATTTAAGAAAGTGTATTAAATAAAAAAAAAAAAAAAAGTCTAAAGTTGTCGTCCCTTTTCATCTTCAATGATTATTTAAATATTTGCAGTGGCTATTATTCTATTTTATGTTTTTTTTTTTTTTTTTTTATATATATCAGAAGTAATTTCCTGACTATAAATTATTACAGATAAATTATTTTCATTAATCATTAAATTCATTTTCTCGGAGAATAAAATTGTAATAAATCGATGCTTGATATTTACATGCGTTTAATATTTTGATTTTTCATTCATTATAATGATCTATTGCTGTTTTAATATTTCATATATCTAATAGTTGATATATTTGTATAATATTTTTTTCCCCCTCGAAAGAAATGAAATTTTCAATGGAATTATAATACAATATGATGCATAATTATATACGCGTTTGATATTATTAACAATTTTTTTTCATTTGAAATAACGATAAAAATTTATTATAATGACGTATTTCTTCATTAACATTTAATACTCGACATGATATTATTTTCATCGAGACAGATTAAAAAAAAGGAAAGAAAAGAAAAGAAAAGAAAAAAAAACCCCCCAAAAGAAAAAAAAGTACTAAAAAGAGAAAGAAAAAGAATCATGCAATTTAATGATGAATATAATTCTTATTTCGAATATATCCTCTTACGATCATGCATTTGCTATTTCAAATTTCTTCGAGTGTTACGATCGCAAAACTCATAAATGATTTACGTACCAGCTTGTTAACTAATTGTAAGCTTCGTAAATAAACCATAGAAAAAAGAAAAAAAAAAGAAAAAAGAAAAAAAAAAGAAAAAAAAAGAAAAAAAAAAGAAATAAAAAAAAAAAGAAACGAAACAAAATATACGTCGAGATGTTACCTATAAAAAAAATCAAAGGTTCGTGCACCCTCCTCTCCTTCTCCTTCACCTCTTCCTCCTTTTCCCCCTTTAGAACTCCTCCACCTAGGAAATTCGTTTCTTTCTTCTTTCATAGACTCTTGTAGTTAAGTGCGTAGCGAGACGACGATATAAATTATATGGGTGCAAATGGATATGAATTACAGCTAGCCCTTCTTTCAAGGTTTAATCGTTACCTAGTAAATACCACGTATATATAGTTAAGTACTATAATACATGCATACGTTTGATTTTTCAATAGTAGTATTCAAACGTGATGGTACTCTTCCCGTCATAAAAGCAACTCAGAGAACACCACATGGCTGGGGTCTTGGCATTGCTTATATGTATATATATATATATTCCTTTCGATGAAAGACCACACCATGAAAATCAATCTGAACCCGTTACTATACTCGAGTTTCCTTGACGTAAACTATCACTGGATTTGTCGCGTTGCACCTGGTTAACTCCTTCGAGTCTTTTACATTCGGATCGGATTTCGTAAATACTTAGAAATATTCGTCAGCGAAATAATCACGTTCTCTTTCTCTCCCTCTTCCTCTCTCTCTCTCTCTCTCTCTCTCTCTCTCTCTGTCTCCTTCTATCTATCTATCTCTCTGTGGAAAAATAAAAAATTAAAAAAAGATATTAATAATAATAATAATAATAATAATAATAATAATAATAATAATAATAATAATGAAGAAATAAAAGGTAACATTCTCAAACTCATTGTTAGATTGTCTATTGCAGTCTTAGAAATGAATTTGTTCTTTTTTCACAAAAAATAGTTTCCAACCGGTGACTATAAATTCTCGCATTAAATGAAACGTAACGTTGGACGCCCCGAAGTTTTTCGACTTACGAACAACTTTGTACTCTCTCTTTCTCTCTCTCTCTCTCTCTTTTTCTCTTTTTATCTATTTCCCTTCCCCTCTTTTTCTCTTTCTCTCTCTCTTTCTCTTTCTCTGAACATTGAACACACAGCTCGGTCGAACGACAGATGCGGGAGACCTTTTATGTCACATCGCGCCGCCAAAATGGGCATTGTGGTATTCTACGTTTCGTCATGAATAGTAGACATTTCCGAGGGTCGCAATGAAAGAGGCAGTATGGACCACAGAGACCGTTGCTGATTATTGTTCGCGGTTTTACGTACGGAAATTTTCTAGCGAGAAATAAAACGAGAATATTCGTTCCTCTCTTTCTCTCTCTCCTTCCCCCTTTTTCTTTTACTTATTTTTTAATTTTTTTTTTCTCTTTTTTTTTTTTTTTTTTTGTAAGTAAAAGTCACGTTGGGTGTCTGATAATATATCGTTTTATATATATATATATATATATATATATATATATATATATATATATATATATAAACAAATTTCATATATTATAAAAAATAATATTATAAATTTTATTACGTTGTAAGACTATTAAAATACGAAATATTCTTTTTATCAATTTATTTTATTTTTTGAGATAAAAAAAATTGATCTTTCATTATATAAACTTGATATATTTCTGACTGATCACTCGTAATATTATTACGATATAGAAATAATAATGAAGTACAAAAAAAAGAAAAAAGAAAATAAGAAATTCGGACGATTTATATGTATGCATATGTATTTTTATGAAAGAAATAAAATAGTATAAATTATAGCGAATCATCATAGATAATAAGAATGTTTCTAAGATAGTACTCTTCTCTTTTAGTGAAAGTCTCAATTCGTTAAAACTGTAAGAAATTTAATATTATAATATTATCATCGTTATAAATTGTATCGTGTCGTAAAAAAACAAATCACACGTATACACAAACACAGAGAGAGAGAGAGAGAGACACCCACGCACGCACGCATTAACATAAACAATTTAAATAAAAATTAATAAAGAAAGTTTAGATTTTAAAATAAAGAAAATTATTCAATTAGAATTAAAATAAATATAATAGTGAAAATTTACGAAATGCATTGTATAAATTTTGGAAAATTACTTTGTTCGATGATTCGATAAACAAGATATTTGTTTACATACAATATGTCCCGTGATTAATAAAATATCAATGGGAATGTGATATTTTAAAAGGATACTCGTAAAGAGTGACATATTAGTAATTTCTAATAAAATATGCTCATATGATATATACATAATAACAGTGGGGCCTTATGCAGAGGCAATGAAGACGATCGTTTCGGGTCCCATAAAACACGAGCCCTCACACGACGATGATTATAAATTTATATTATAAAGTAAATTTTATATTATAGAATAATATTATAATATCTTATAATTATTTTTATTTTTACATTTTTTAATATATAATAAATTTTGGGAAGTATATTGCATATATAATATTATTCGCATGAATGACTAAA